TTTTCATATGTGGCAAATAAATAAACTTAAGTCCATAATGACATGGACAAACCCAAGCTAAAAAATTTAAAATCTATCCAATGCTAAACAAAAAAGTACTAGGTCTAGAATACTAAACAACCAATAAAAATATAGTAATAATAAATGCATACAAAAAAATGTGTTTTGCCTATTAAAAAAAAAAAGAAAATTGTGAACAATTAATGACTAGGCGGATTTGCACTTGGGTCTAAAATAGACCCAAGTGCGGACTTGGTCTCTTTTTTCTAGTGCCACATAAGTTAGACTAGGTCCACTTTTAATTGCATTGTAAAACATTTTTTTATAGACTTGGTCTATTTTCTACATAGCATGTGATTTTTTTTCTAAGAGACCCAAAGAATTATGGGTGCTCTAAATGAATATGTGGCTGCACCCTTCTCCTTGCCTTAGAAGGTCTCCCTGCACCCTTTCCAAAATTTGGTGGCAGTGGTGGTATGAAATTATTATCCTCCCAAAGTCCAGTGCCATTAATTGGATACGAGGTGTTCCCATAAGTAGCCGTATACTTAGACACTTTGTAGCATTCATCTACATAGTCCTCAACATTACCTCTAGTAAAATAGATGGGTGTCAAAGCATGACTGCATGGAATTCCAGACAAACACCATGACCTACATGAATAAATTCCTTTGAGTTAATAGAGTATTGAGCTCCATTTTTACAATATATCTCAAAGTGTATGTCATGATCAACCTTCACTGGTATGCAATCAGACACTCTTTTACTAAACAGTTCTGAAAGCTCCATTATTCTTGGACACTATTTATTCTTCCACTTTCTTACAGCCATATCTCTATTCTCTTGCATTATCTTCATTACGTATTCTCTAATCTACTCCAACATTGTGATAACATGTTTCTCTTTGGCCTCCAGAATACAAGAGTTAAAGGTCTCACAAAAGTTATTCAATAGTATATCACATTTGGGGAACATCCTTGAAATGTGAGTTGGACCACTGCTCAGGTGTTCTTTCAGAGAGCCATTTCCATGTATTTTGGTTCATCTCCTTAAGCTTTGCCATTCAGCTTGTGAATCCAAACTTTGTTGTGGACATTGAAGCAACCCATAAGACATTTGTGATTACCAAACCCTTAAAACCGACTGTTCTGAAGTTATTGCAATGATGGCTAATAGAAAATATGTGATCAGACTAAGATAATATTTGAGCTGCAGCTTGAAAAGATCCCTTCTATTTGTCAGACATTAGGATGAAGCCACTTGGGTCAATCATGGCTAAGTCATTCTTCATAATAGTCAAGAACCATGACCATGCCTATGTGCACTCACTACTGACCACACCATAAAAAAAAGGGAACTACTTATTAATAGAGATCAACACCCACAACAACCAACAATATACCCCTGTGTGGGCCATTCAAATGACATCCATCAATCCCCATTATTGGTCTGCACTCATCTCAATACCCTTTCTTCATTGGAGCCAGACAAATGTACAACCTGCCGAACCTAGAATGTCTACTTTCATCAACCTCAGTACCTATAATGATAGTAGACTTAGAGTTTGATCTTTTAAGTTCCTCAGAGTAATTCCACAACATAGAATATTGGGCTTCTGTCGAGCCTTGTAGAATTTTGAGTGCCTTTCTCTTAGTTCTGTATGACCTAGTCCTTAGAAATGTTACACATTAACTCTTCAATGGTGCTTGTCATGAAACCTTTTACAGTTCTCTTGGGTCTGCCTGAAAGTCTTTCAAGTAGATGTCACGCAACCAAAATGACTTCACATTCTTCATTCTTCTTTTTTATTAGATGCACCTTTCAAGGATAGTATGCTACAACACGTATCCCATACAACCTCGTTAAATCACTTCTCTACATATCTTCACACCTATGTGACTCCGAATGGCGTACCTCTGGACAACTTTCTTAAATTCTTTTTTTGCTACTGAATAACATCCCAAGCTAAAACACTGAACTGTAGATATTGGTAGGATTGAATACAGACATGTGGTCTCCCTCCTAAAAATTAGCAATATGATCATCTTTGTCATCCCATTTATGGAATGCATCTTCTTCACTGTCACCACTTTCTTCTCCTGAACCTTGAATTAAATATTCCACCTTATGATCAACAAAATTCTCATATGGACTATCATCATCGTTGTACTCATCTTCAATATTGTACTTAGCTTCCACATTGTAATTAGTATCCGTGAAGTCTTCATCAAAGTTATTTTGAACAAAAGTTTCATTAGAATTCTTTTCAATGTAGTTATTGTCACACTATTTTTTAACCACATTTGCTTCTGGCAACTAAAATTATGACACCCCAGAATGATCATCTATAAGCTTCAACAATTCATCATCATTGTCTAATTCTATTAAACGAGATGCTTTTGACAACAGATATGGTGTGTCCACACTAAGATCAACAATATTCTCAAACTACTCATCATCATCATTGCTCAGTTTTCACATGGTAATAAGAATTAAGAGAGTCTCCAATAGAGTTTTTTTTTTTTTTTTAAACAGAGGCTTCATCACATCTTTCTAAATATTATGCTTCTCCACCATCCTTTTCAAGAGATGCTTCTGACAGCTGATTTGTTGTGTCCACACAAAGATCAACATTTTTCTCAAACATTTCATCATCATCTGTTTACTCAGTTCCCACACTGTAATCAGAATCAAGAGTCTTTAGCAGAGTTCTTTTCATAAAGTGTAACCTCACAAAAAATATAAAATAAAAAGAATTTCAAACCATGCGCATATAAATGGAAACAATGGAGAAAAATTAAGTAAGCTTACTGTATGCCGGATGAGAAGAGTTTGGTTTCCTATTGCTTCGCAAGTAGATATAGAAGATGTCATCAAATCAGAAGTCTTAATAGCAATGGTTATTGTCCTATTTGCAGCTTCAAGCATTTGAACTTTTTGGTTCTTGGGTTTTTGTTGCTCAATTAATATCACACGATTTTTCTCTCTTTTTCTTTGGAAGAAGATGATAAAATTGCGTGGAAGACGTATTTATAGGTTGTTTAATTTGCAAAGGTGGATTAAGTAGGCCACGTGCAGTCTACGTCAACAAAGTTCATGAAATCAGCCGGAATTCCGACAAGTTTGACCAGAATTTGATAAAAAGACCAAATTTTTTTTTATAAACTTTTGGCTAATATTGTCAAAACGAAATGATGGTGGCTAAAATTACCAAATCGTAAATATAACTGACTATATTTTACAATTTAACCCTTAATTTAGTTTATTATGTTAACATCATAATTAAAAAAGGTACAAACATGATAAAGTTATATACTTTTAGCCACAAAAACATCATTTAAAATTCAGCTTGAAAGCCTAAACACACCATAGAGCTATACTCGAAAAATCTGGTAATTAAGTATATGTAACGAAACATTTATAATAGACTAAATTAATAATATATTACATGATCATGATATGGAACCTGGTCCGAGGTCAACCTTTTCTATAGTAGTTAGTAGTTACGAGGCTTCATTCTTATTTGGAATAAGTCAAAACAAACTGCAGCACTCAATTCCACGTGTCATTCCATAATCTACACACCACAACTACAATTATTATTAATACAAACTAGTACAACACCCGTATATTACATGAGTGCTTGTTAAAAAATTATTTTGAATTTTAAATTAATGAGAAAAATTATTTTAAATTTTATTTACTTTTGTGCAAAAAATACATATTATTGTATATTTTAGAATGACATTTGTTACTTGTGCGACTTACATGTGTTATATTATAGTCATTTTTATAACTTATATCATATAACTAATTGAAATATAAATATATTGATTAAATAAATAATTTTATTTTTCTAACTAATATTTAAAAATAATTTTATTATTGTTATAAAAATAAATATAATTTATTTTCTTTATACATACAATATGTATGTTAAAATTGAAGCTCATATGATTTATTGTTATATTATACATGTAAAATTAATAAAAAAATACAAAAGTTATTAACTTTTAAAATACATTGCACTTCAATGGTTATAATAACGAAATAATATTAAAATAAAATTAATACATGTAACATGACCATAAATAATAAAATATTTATGAATAATCCGGACCTAATTATTTTTGGATTAAAAGTAAATTAAAATCTACCAAAGTCCTAATAACTAAGAATGTAATTTCGCCACGTAGGATCCCAAAGCATGCGAGTCTGTTACTTAAGCTCAACATGTTCTGAATTAATATATGCTAGTACAACACCCGTGTATTACACGAGTGCTTGCTAATTTTTTTCTTAAAATCTAAACTAATGAGAAAAGTAGTTGAAAATTTAAATACCTTTTACAAAAATATATATATTATTATATATTTAGTATGACACTTTTTATTTGTGCGACTTAACTTTGTTATATTATAATAATTTTTTTTACTTACAACATTTGAAAATAAATATATCAATTGATAAATAATTTTATTTTTCTAATGAATTTTAATAAATATTATTATCTTTTATTATTATAAAGATAAATATAGTTTATTTATTTCATATATACAATATGGATGTCAAATCGAAGATCATCAAAAGATGATTAATTTGATATATAATATATGTAAAACCGATAAGAAACACAAAAGTTATCAACTTTTAAAGTACATTTACAATTCAATAGTTAATTGAAGGAAACAAATCAAAGTCAGTGATATATTAGTCACTTATTGCCTCACTACGTAAAATTACAAATAATTAAATGGTTATATTACTACAAGTGATATTAAAATACTAAGTTAGATAAATAATATTTATGGAATGTCCAAACCTAGATTATTAATTATTAATATATCAATATTATTTGTCCAAACCTAATTACGAAGCATGATTTTTCGCCAAGTAGGATTCTGAAGCACCAGAAACAACCACGTAAGCTCAGCGCATTCGGGAATTATATATAGGGAGGATATTATTTTCTCGTTCTAAAAGAAAATGATTTATTTCATTCACATATACATTGTATTTGTAGCATTAGAACAGTTGACCACAGACTGAAGATCCTCCCAATTATCTGCATGGCTTAGCAACTCGTTAATGTCACTGGACATGTTATAGCTCGAAAAAGACGAAGCAGCCATTAATGGAGCTTGAGACGCCGTGCTCAAATATTGGCCCGGAAACAACTCATGTTGAACGTTCGCAGTATTTTGGCCCGGAAAAAGGCTTTTATGTTGATCCGCATTTTGTCTGACAGTCATTGGCGAGCTGAAGCTGATGTAGCTGCTTTTTCCGTTTTGGTCAGTGGAGTCGATGCTGCACGTTTCTGATGAACTTGCGTCGACTAATAACTGATTGTTATTTATGCTGTTAATTTTCTTCACGGCAAGCCTCAAGTCGGATACGTACTTTCTGTATGGTGCATTGCGCTTTAGTATTCGGCACAACGTCCAAACTTCCTGTCGATTTTAACCAAAAACACTAAGTTTGTCGACCAAAAATGCATTTTTTGAAAAAGAAAAAAAAAAAAATATATATATATATATATATATATATATATAGTTTAAGATTATGTTTGGTAAAACTAACTGGTAAGCGAGCTGATAGCTGATAAACTAGCAGAAATACGAGTTTATTTGAAAAGCTACCCAAAGAAGCTTATCAAATAAGCTTGTCCTGCCAAACGAAATTTTATTGAACACAGGAAGTTTAAAAACTAATCAAATAAGCTATAATCTAGATTATTGGTCTACCAAACATAACTTGAAAAAATATATAATAGTTGTTAGTGAAACAATGATGTTATGGTTGTTGTTTTCTACCAAAATATTTCAAACGAGACAACAAGAAAATCCAATCTTTTGACAATGAAGCACAAAAGCCTCATGAATTTCAACCGTGCGTGCAAACCCTTTTCAAACCATCATAAATCAAACAAATTGACTAAAAATGAGTAATAAACATAATTACTATAATAGAATATTTATTACTATTTTTCTTACAGCTTCTTGAGCAGAAGTGGTGGGTGTGGCATCGGCCGGCAGTCGAAACTCGTGCATCATCCACTCGGTCTTGGTGCCTTTCCCGGCGCTACCACGGTAGTAGACGAGGGACTTCTTGAGGCCTATGCAGTCTGGGCCGGAATATATGGGCCTGTCGATGCCGGTCGCCTTCCAGAAGCCCGAGCCCGTTACTCTGTTGGGCCTCACGCTGTTCTTGTACTTTCTACCTCTTTTACAGAAGAAGTACCACTCTTTGTCTTTCTCCCCTAAATTTGTCGATTCTTGAAAA